TGTGTGTGTGTGTGTGTGTGTGTGTGGACCACCCACTCTGCAGATTAAACACAGTTCACACGACTGCCTCCTCTCTCTCCGTATTCACTCACATCCTCACTCTGCCTTTATCTCCTTCTGTCTTTATGGCTTATTTTAATCTACTGACCAGTGTGTGTGTATGTGTGTGTGTGTGTTTTTTGATTGGAGGAAACAGGGTTTGAAGATTTGATTAAAAAAGAAAACTTGTCACTGTGTACATTTACACACGTAAGTTGTTTCTGTGCAGTAACACTGCCCTAACGTCTTGAGGAGGAGGAAAACACCACAGAAGTGAATCTGGCTCTGCTCCGACAAACTGAAAACTGTTTCCTCCGTCATATGGTGAATGTGATCCGAGCGAGAGACAGCGACAGACGAGGGATTATCACTGAGGCCAGAGAATAAATTCAGTCTCCACTTCTCGTCTCAGTTACTGAACAGGAACAATAAGTATCAATACAAAGATCAATACTAAAAAAAAACACAATGATTCACATAACTGCTGCTTTGAAAAACAATAACGATCAATATCAATATCAATCACAATATCATATCATAATATCATACATAAAATCAAAACAGTTAATATGACCTGAAAGAGTTGAAGCGTAAATCAGCCTGAAGCACGGTTCACACCTCCCCTTTCAATACCACCTCAGATTACTATGAGACATTGACCCAGTAAAACATTTGCAGGGTTAGGTTAAACTGAAGGAACTGTTCACGTCTGTGGTCTGTTCCGCTGTAAGTGGTTTTCATTTGATGCTTCACTGTCTGATCTGAATCACAGATACAAACAGGGTCTCTGCTGTTTGTAAAAGGTGCAACAGTATATTAGCCTTGGCTTAGCACAGTGAATAATCTCCTTTCCTAACCACTATTCCTTGACCCAGATGGAATACGTCACAAGGAGGAAAGATGTGGAGGAGGTAGGAAAGGAGTTAGGAAAGGAGAACCACAGTGCAGAGAAATTCTGACTCCCCTTACACTCTGTGTTTTTTTAATAACAGCTTAATTTATAACAGAAGATACACAGTAAATGTGAAGTACTCTGTGCGCTGATATAATGTTAATAAATGTTAATAATATAATAATGTGAGGGATATACGTGGAGGAAACCATATAGTTATAAGTGGTATCTATTCTTCTAACTTTTATATTTGTATTTAGTTGTCATGATGATGTTGTGAACTATAAGTTCTTTATATGTTTGTTGGTGACAGATGTGACACAGAATAAATCAGACGATCATGATTCACATCAGTTCTGGATCCGGAGATAAAAAAGCTGGGTTAGCTGAGGCTAAACCTTTCTCCTTTCCTTTCATAAAGGATGGTCAGATTTTCCTCTGCTTAAGGAGATAAGTTAGGAGGCATGAAACTCCTTTCCTCATCATTTAGAGAATTGAACAGCTCTTATTATGGCAGTCGCTGAAATACTTCAGGTTCTTCCACTTAGTTAAGGAGGTTCCTTAGTAAAATGGACTAACTGAATGCATGTGCCCTGTAGGACCTGCTGCAATAAGACTCATGTGATGTGTTGAAATGCATTTTATGTGACTTTAACTGAACACTTGGACACAGTCAGTATGTTGTCATGGAAACCATGTGGATCATAAGTAACTTCTCTTTATGCTGCTGTTGATGCGTTCAACTGTATGAGGCACCACAGCTCCCCCTGCTGGACAAACTGACCTGTTACACTTTACTGATTAAACATGGTGTTACTGAGTAACCCTAACCCTCATGTATTTATTGTTAAAGACTCTATAATAATACCAGTTATATTCTATCAAAATAATATTCAAACTAAATATTGGAACATTAATATGGTGATAAATAGGTGATAAATATAATTATACAATAATAGGCTGTAAAGCACCTGATGGTTTGAGTTACTGCTTCTCTTCTTCCTGAGGCGGAACTGAAGGTGACAGGGCTGCACATTTATCTCAGGAAGCTTCAAACTGAAATGACGTATTTCATATATAAAAATATACAATAAGGGCTGTTTGAATTCTCTAAATGATGAGGAAAGGATCTTCAATGCTTCCTAACTTATCTCCTTTAGCGGAGGAAACACGGAACCATCCTTTATGAGAGAAAAGGACAACATTTCCCACAATTCTGCAGAAACTGGAAACATCTCTTCTCTGGTCATTTTGTTTTAAACAGGAAACTTTACTTTAACAGAAGAGAATTTATCACTTGCCGTACAGTCTGTACATATGTTCTGTTACAGTTAGGTTAAGTTAGTTAAGTCAGGTTTTCTTCTCACAGCTTCTTCTTCACATCTTTAACCCACCTCAGGATGTTTTAAATCAGGGTCGAGGAGTATTGGTTGGGAAACAGATTATTTGACTTTTTGACTGCGGCCCAGGTCTCTGTAGACAGGACGAAGATCTGAAGCTGCAGAATCACTGACGACTTTTAATCACTTCCTAGAACATATCTTTTTCAAAAAAACTTTTAAAGACAAGAACACCATTTTATCACCTACATCCATCCATCACCTACACGTCTTAACCTTTGAGGGTCACAGGAAGCTGGAGCCAGTCCCACACTGAATAAGAGGTGGGCGTCCACATGTGGCGGTGCTGAATGCATTTTTTTTTTTTTCCTAATATTATTTTATTTTGTATCATTTCATTCTATGCTTTATTTGTCTCAGTCCTAAAATGTCTGAATCCCTTTGCAACCATTTGAGGTAGAAGTATTTGTAGCTTTTACCTCTGTACATGTCCACCAGAGAATCCCTGAGCTCCTTGCTGGGCGTCCATGTCTCTTCTGATTGAGTTTCTCTGGAAACATAAAGACACATGAGACCCAAAGGATCAGTTTATTAAAAGACAAAGAACTGGAGAATTCTTCACCATCATCATTCTTTAACTAGTTTAGTCAGGGTTAGTTCAGTTATTTTACAGCTTCATTAGTCTGTTAATTCAGGTCAAACATTATAAAATCTCTAAGAAACTCTACCCGTGTCAGATTTTTGGATTTTTCACTTCTCATCACAAACGTTACATCACTTTATTTACATTACAGGTCATTTGACTGACACTATCATCCAAAGCGATTTACAATTGGTGCATTCAACATTTAGTGCTTCAGTATCTTGTCCAGGGACACTTCGGCAGGCAGATGAGGAAGACTGATGATCGAACCAACAACCTTCTGGTAGGAGGACGACCACTCTACCCCTCAGCCATAGCCACCCAGACATGACGTCAGAAACATTGCCCCAGTTCTGCTCGTATTTCTTACTTGTTCAGTTCATGCTGTAGATTGTTGATCTTCTTCTTTGCTCTCTGCAGAGCAAACTTTACCTCTACAGCTCTGCTGCCGGACGCCATCAACACACCTCCACCAGAGTGAAAACACACCTGACCATATCCATGACTACCTCCCTACCTTCCATACCTCACAGCGCTTGCAGGTTAGATCGGTGGACAAAGTATATGATTGGTTGAGTTAGACACTTTGAACCTTACGCAGGTAAATGTTTGATGAGCTCAGAGGGTCAGGTGACTCAGGTGTCGTTTTCAAGATTATTATTGAAACACAAAGTCTGTTGTTCTGTTTTTGTTTGATGTCACATGAGTACATGAACAAACTGTCATTATATACAGTCAGTGATCGTTTTTATATACAGTCAGTGATCATCTTTATATACAGTCAGTGATCGTTTTTATATACAGTCAGTGATCATCTTTA